CTTCTCAGTTTGTGGTAGCCCCTTCTGTTCAGGTTTCTGCTCTTTGGTACTGGTGGTAGATTTGTACGTGTGCAGCCTTTCTCCATCCTGGCGACGGTCGAGACGGCTGGTTTCCGGAGGGGTTCTTGGGTTATTGATGCTTGATTGGTTTGGCCGGGGGTGCGTCCTGTGTTGTCCGGTTGCGCTTTTTGCCGTTACCTGCATACCGTGTCTGGGGAAGCACTTTGGTTGATTCAGTTCCCCTCGTTCCCTGTTTCAGGGCTCAGGTCTCCCAGGTCGTCCGCAGAGTTTTTCAGTCTTCCAGCCTGCGGTCTGTCTTTGCACCCGTGCTGTTAGGACGTTTGCAGCTTTTGCTGCTGTGTTGGTGACGTCTAGGGCTCATTTCGGGCGCAGGGAATTGAGAGTCGCATAGGTTCTTGGCCGCCCATTCTTTATGCGCGTCTGCTCCTGTGCGTTCTTGTTGCCTTGGGTCGCAGGTTGCATCCTGTTGTCTCGGCTTCGCGTTGCGGAGTTTGTGGCAGCCGCTTATATATATATATATATATATATATATATATATATATATATATATATATATATATATATATATATATATGTTTCATTGAATATGACCGCATATTCTGTATTTATTATTTTCTGGTTTAGGGCTTCTATCCCTCTAACTATTTTCTTAGCATCAGGGCTTAATTGAAATAGGAGTTCTCCAAAACTCATTTTCGTACTTTTAAGGTGAAGAAAAGAAGTGATTTACTATAGAGTGTATTACACTTATTTGTATAATTTGCACGACGTTTCAAACCTCCATGGTTCATTCTCAAGTGAACAGATCTTACAATACTAGTTGATTTTATACCCGCATTAGGTCAGGTGATAATACAATGAAGGTGAAAACATGGGGGGATACATAAGGGATAAACATAGGGGCTGCAGAAGGCTTATTGGCCCATACGAGGCATCTCCTATCTAAACACAAAGATTAATCCAGTGTAATTGGCCTGTTATGTTGGACATTGTCTTCTGTGTTGGCATCGATATGTTCTTGTCTTGTCCTTACTCTCATGGTGGGTAGAGTAAATAGTTCCGTGATTTGGGTGTTCATGGTAGGTCGCTCTATTCTTATGTGAATTGCCTCAAGAATTTGTAATCTTCTTGAATCTTGGGTTTTGTCTATTATGCAAGTATTCTTGTTCAACATTTCTCTTGTTAGAGTAATGTCATGGGCTTGTCTCATGTGATTCCTAGGGGCACCAGATTGAAGATGGCATGTCAAACGCCTCGTCAGCTTGGTCGACGTCATACCTATGTACTTACATTGAAGGTTACATCCTTCGTGGGGGCAAGTGTACATGTATACAACGCTTGACTGCTGTAGAGGGTTCTCCGTCGGCTTCGGGCTGTTTTTGATAAGGAGTTCGGAAGTCTTCTTGGTTTTGTAGAATATTATCAGGTTTATGTTTTGGTTAGGAGTAGTGCTTTTTACTCCTTTACGGATTATTTCTTTCATTATTCTTTCCTCTTTTATATGTTCACTGTGCATGGTTGATTTGTAATATAATTTTATTGGGGGTGTTGTGGTTTCTGTTCTAGGTTCTGAATTATACCAACGGTCCAAGTGTCTTCTTATAGCAGCGTTTATTTCCGCGTTGCTATATCCGTTGTTCACCAATACCTGAGTTACTCTTTCAAACTCTCTACTCACGTTGCTCCATTCAGAGCAGTGGGTAAGCGCTCGACGAATATAAGCATTGAGAACACTGGCTTTGTATCTTTGGGGGCACTCACTTCTACCGTTCAGGCATAATCCTATGTTGGTGGGCTTGGTATATACGTTGGTGCTTAAAGAGGTTCCTGTTTTTGTTATTAGTACATCCAAGAATGGCAGACTGTTATTTTCACTATTTTCATGTGTAAATCGGAGTACTGACTCTCTCTCTAGGTGTCTTTTTAGGTCAATTAGTTCATCTGAGTCTTTTACTATTACGAATATGTCATCTACATAACGGCAGTATACAGTTGGTTTTTGTCTGCTACTGAAGACCCTATCTTCGATGGTTCCCATATAAAAATTAGCAAATAAAACTCCTAAGGGGGAGCCCATTGCTACTCCGTCTATTTGTAAATACATGTCTCCTTGTGGAGACATGTATTTACCAAAACATAAACCTCCTAACCAAAACATAAACCTGATAATATTCTACAAAACCAAGAAGACTTCCGAACTCCTTATCAAAAACAGCCCGAAGCCGACGGAGAACCCTCTACAGCAGTCAAGCGTTGTATACATGTACACTTGCCCCCACGAAGGATGTAACCTTCAATGTAAGTACATAGGTATGACGTCGACCAAGCTGACGAGGCGTTTGACATGCCATCTTCAATCTGGTGCCCCTAGGAATCACATGAGACAAGCCCATGACATTACTCTAACAAGAGAAATGTTGAACAAGAATACTTGCATAATAGACAAAACCCAAGATTCAAGAAGATTACAAATTCTTGAGGCAATTCACATAAGAATAGAGCGACCTACCATGAACACCCAAATCACGGAACTATTTACTCTACCCACCATGAGAGTAAGGACAAGACAAGAACATATCGATGCCAACACAGAAGACAATGTCCAACATAACAGGCCAATTACACTGGATTAATCTTTGTGTTTAGATAGGAGATGCCTCGTATGGGCCAATAAGCCTTCTGCAGCCCCTATGTTTATCCCTTATGTATCCCCCCCATGTTTTCACCTTCATTGTATTATCACCTGACCTAATGCGGGTATAAAATCAACTAGTATTGTAAGATCTGTTCACTTGAGAATGAACCATGGAGGTTCGAAACGTCGTGCAAATTATACAAATAAGTGTAATACACTCTATAGTAAATCACTTCTTTTCTTCACCTTAAAAGTACGAAAATGAGTTTTGGAGAACTCCTATTTCAATTAAGCCCTGATGCTAAGAAAATAGTTAGAGGGATAGAAGCCCTAAACCAGAAAATAATAAATACAGAATATGCGGTCATATTCAATGAAACATGTTTGAAAGAAAACCTGCTGCCAGTATACACCAATATATATATATATATATATATATATATATATATATATATATATATATATATATATATATATATATATATATATATATATATATATATATATATATATATATATATATATATATATATATATATATATATATATATATATGTCGTACCTAGTAGCCAGAACGCACTTCTCAGCCTACTATGCAAGGCCCGATTTGCCTAATAAGCCAAGTTTTCATGAATTAATTGTTTTTCGTCTACCTAACCTACCTAACCTAACCCAACCTAACTTTTTCGGCTACCTAACCTAACCTAACCTATAAAGATAGGTTAGGTTAGGTTAGGTAGGGTTGGTTAGGTTCGGTCATATATCTACGTTAATTTTAACTCCAATAAAAAAAAATTGACCTCATACATAACGAAATGGGTAGCTTTATCATTTCATAAGAAAAAAAATAGAGAAAATATATTAATTCAGGAAAACTTGGCTTATTAGGCAAATCGGGCTTTGCATAGTAGGCTGAGAAGTGCGTTCTGGCTACTAGGTACGATATATATATATATATATATATATATATATATATATATATATATATATATATATATATATATATATATATATATGTCGTACCTAGTAGCCAGAACGCACTTGTCAGCCTACTATGCAAGGCCCGATTTGCCTAATAAGCCAAGTTTTCATGAATTAATTGTTTTTCGACTACCTAACCTACCTAACCTAACCTAACCTAACTTTTTCGGCTACCTAACCTAACCTAACCTATAAAGATAGGTTAGGTTAGGTTAGGTAGGGTTGGTTAGGTTCGGTCATATATCTACGTTAATTTTAACTCCAATAAAAAAAAATTTCCCTCATATATAATGAAATGGGTAGCTTTATCACTTCATAAGAAAAAAATTTGAGAAAATATATTAATTCATGAAAACTTGGCTTATTAGGCAAATCGAGGCTTGCAAAGTAGGCCTAGAAGTGCGTTCTGGCTATTAGGTACGACATATATATATATATATATATATATATATATATGTATATATAATAATGTATGTATGTATGTATGTTAAATAAGCGTTTGTGTCTGTCTTTTTTTTTTCTTGTACACATTAAAATTGCATCATCATATTATATACTGTACCTATATATTATTACCCTACTAAAAAATACTGTGTTACATTTGTTATTTATCTTATTGTTGGAGTTATGTCCAGCTTGAAGTCTCATGGAGTTGTGAATGCTGTACAGTAAATACATACTGTAGTGTATTATAATGTTAGCACTGTGTTGATTAGTAGTTCTGCTATATGTTGAGTACTACAATACAGTTTATGAAAATTATTGTACACTAAAATTACTGCAACTTTAATTTTAACACTATGTACACACTTAAAACTCGATATGCCTTTTGCCACTTTAGCACTCATAGTCCTTTTTTTTAGTAATTACAGTGCTTATTGTTGACATAAATTTATTGTACTGCCTAGCTAGTTTAACAAACCATGTACCATTTTCACGTTTACAAATGATTTCTTGTTTTTGCTCTATGGTCATCCTCACATGTGTTTTCTTAGGTTGAACCTTACCACTGACTTTCTTGGGACCCATGGCATGATATATAATAATTACTTATATGTTCAAAACCAAAAAAAGCCAAAGAACAATGAAATTCTTTACAAAGATTTCATGCGCGATTGTCACTAAGCGGGAGGCACTGGTACACTGAAGCACGAGCGACCATGCCACCAGGAACTACACGCTAGGTCGCCCATATGCATATCAACAATCTACGTTACCTGAGGCAAAGGTCATAAGCCGATTCACATTTTACGAAGAAATTGGGCTCGTAACCTGAAAAGTTCGTAAATAGGGGCATTCTTAAGCCGAGGTGCCACTGTATACTACTGTAATAAATTACTTAACTGCAGCTTTAAATACTTACCCCACACAGGCATAAAAGCAGAAAAGAATAAAATAGCACAGATTGTATCCTCCAACACATGTGCCAAGGAAAAAACAGTGATGATCTCTTTGGTGAATGCAGCGATCACAGAGGGAACAATGGTGACTGCGCTCAGGTTTGTAGATTTTACATGTTGGACAGTAACGGAGCTGCTTACAATCATCGTGAGACAAACCAGGAGCCAACTCACTGTGGAAGAAAGATTTAATCAGAATTTTAATATGCCTTAAGAACTAATGCTTGACAAGAATATAGCAAAAAATGTAATGAAACACCATTTTCTGGGTGAGTCCCAGAGGCTCCCCAGAGCTATCCAGGCTGAATGGATATGTATAACTTTCTGGCATCAGTCAAAGTGCATGGCATTTTTGCCTACCGGGGACCACGAGCCAGAACCTGGCCCACTGAGAGAGGCACAAGGAGCAATGGCCTATAGAAACCTTCCTGTGGTTGGGAGCATTCTGTCAGCCATCGACTGGGACAGGCACCCAGAAAGGTAGGTGCCCAAAAACAAACCCTTATTCTGGTGAAAATATTGCTACTGAAAGCCAAACAAGTGGACAAAACTCCCCAAACAAAATTAGCAAACTAGCATGACATGATAGCGTCGCCGTGCCGCTATCTGCGCACCCCCCTCCCTTCCCGGGAGAGGGAAGGGGGAGCCCTAGACCCTCCGCGCCAGCGATCCAACCGACAGTTCTTTGCTGATGTGATTACTGGCCGGTTGGGTGAAACAACCACAAGAGAAAGGACAAGACAGAAAACAGAAAGCGAAGTACAACTACGAAGAGACAAAAAGAAACGGAAGGACCGCCAGGAAACTTCATACTGCTGCCGAGATGAAGCACACAGGTGGGACACCATTAACGAAGCTACCTGATCACCATACAGATATTGATAGACGAGTCAAAAATACCACACACGAAGGCTCGAGGAGAAGATCGAAGCAGCCACGTAACGGATCGGACCGATCTGCTGAAAGAGGCGTAGCCATGAGAAAACCCCCTGGGTTCGAACACCGAGCAAGTAGCGCCTGAAACCAAGGCTGGGCCGGCCACAAGAGGACTACTCTCCCCTGTTAAGTCTCCAAGCGAGTTAGGACATGGAGTAACAGGTGAACCGGGAAAAAGAGGTACAAGTAACCCCACCTCGACCAGTCCTGCCGAAAAGCATCGATTCTGATGCCCTCACAGTCGAGGAAGGGCGCAACATACAATGGGAAGTACCTCGACCATGCCGATGGGAAGAGGTCCACCTCCGGGAGCCCGTACGTCCAGCAGAGCCAACTGAATGACTCAGCGTCAATCTTGAGGTTATCTTTAGTTGATTTCAGGGATGATTTCAGGACGAGGACCGTCCCTGCAGCCCGGTCCTCGACCAGGCCTCCTTTTTGTTAAACACCCCCAATGAAGCAGCCCGTAGCAGCTGTCTAACTCCCAGGTACCTATTTACTGCTTGGTAACAGGGGCATCAGGATGAAAGAAATATTTTGCCCATTTGTCTCAGCCTCCACCTGGGATCGAATCCGGAACCTCAGGACTACGAATCCGAAGCACTGTCCACCCAGCTGTCAACTGTCCATTCCATGGACAGGGGAATGAACCGATACGGGCCATCCGCCAAAACGTTGGACACCCTCCCAAACGTGAACCGCCATGAGAGCCAAACCTTGAGAACTCGGCAGACGAGTCACTCGAAGAGCCAGCCTCAAAGAGTCAAGGACCGCATCGAACCCCCACAATTCAGGCAATGAACCATTGGGGGAGCAGTCTGAATGGAGCCTGATCGTCGATCCGCAAGCAACTCGAACCCTCCGAAGCAACATCCACACCCCCACGAACTCCTGCACCATGCTGTGGTTATCTTGAGATGATTTCGGGGCTTTAGTGTCCCCGCGACCCAGTCCTCGACCAGGCCTCCACTCCCAGGAAGCAGCCCGTGACAGCTGACTAACACCCAGGTACCTATTTTACTGCTAGGTAACAGGGGCATAGGGTGAAAGAAACTCTGCCCATTGTTTCTCGCCGGCGCCTGGGATCGAACCCGGGACCACAGGATCACAAGTCCAGCGTGCTGTCCGCTCCAGGCCGACCAGTGGGCCCGACGGAAGGACGAACCCCACCGTCCCTGGCTGGCCTGGTGAGCACTGGTCACAAAGCCCCAGCCAAGAGATTACGTGTCCATGAACACATTGAGTGAGGGCTCGGGTAGGTGCCAAGTCGCTGAACCATTACTATCAGAGAACCGAAAAACCAGAAGAGGAAGCTCGCAATGCAGCAGCCGATGCAAGGCCCCTGGAGGCCAAACCCAGCGATTGCGAGAGAGGCAGAAGGGATGGCCCCAAAGGAACCAGAACAGCCGATGAAGTCAAACCCGACTCGGCGGGTAGACCATCACGGCAAAGTTCAGGCTCCCGCACAAACCCTTGTGCAACTGCTGAGTGACCCGGGAGCCCCCCAAAAACAGGCGAAGGTGGGACTGCAGCAGAAGCAGAGACACAGGAGGGAGAGACAGGGAAGCGGTCTGAGTCTCACACAGGACCCAACCAAGTCCGAAACTGAGAAAGGAAACACACACGTGTTAAGGTGTGTGAAAACGCGAGGTGCCAGATTCAAACCGAATGGATGGCAACGAAAGCAGTAACCGATATGCCCTACCACAAAACTGAGCCAGTCCCTGAACCCCGGATGAATCGGGGCGTGCCAATACGCATCCCGGAGGTCCAGGGACACCATCCAAGCACCTGGCTCCAAAAAAATCTGACCCGGGACAGAGTAGTCATCCGAAAGAAAGGGGCAATAGACCCAGGGGTACATACAAGTCCAGAATGAACCACAGGTTTGCACTGCATGAAACAGAACAGGGAAGGAAACACACCTGAGGGACGTTGTTGTTTTGACCATGCCCACTCCAAGATGACCTGCCAGAGCACAGAAGAGGCCTGCCCCACCAGTCCTGAACCCCCCCGAAGGAGGAGGAAGAGTCACCAATGCCACTGCAGGCTGTCGGAAACGACCTGAAAATCGTGAGACTAAGTGTGACCAAACAGAGCAAGCCTCCCCTCCCCCATCGCCCTGTAAACGGGGCGAAGCGCAAAAGGGCCTACGTCCCTTGCTAGAACCCAAATGACACGCAGTGCGATCACCTCGCCAACCAGACAAAGACGGGTCCGAAGGCTGTGCCAGCCCTGAAACTGGCACCACCTGCCTACCCCGACTGCAGAATCTGCAAACAGCAAGGGACAAAAAGGCAATGAAAACCTAAGAGTCAGGGCCCAAGCAGATTCCAAAGAATAAGCGAGCACCTCCTGCTGACACGCGAAGCAAAAAACCGAGACACTGCATCCCGTAGGATTGCCGCAAACTGCTTCAACAGAGCAGACGACACACGCGCCGCTGAGACCAATTCACCAGACCCAGGAACGGTCCCAAATGCCTCCACATCCTCCGCAAGCCAATCCGAGGACAGCTCCAGGAGGAAAAAGAACTGCAAGACCGAAGCCAACAAGCATCGAGCGCGTAAGTCCTCAGCAACCAGTGCAGCTGAAAGGGAGGGAGGGAACCTGAACATGAAGCTGCACCACTCCAACATCCTGAGAAATCCCGAGGAAGGGCAGGGGCAAACAAACACGCACTGAGGTGCTTAAACTCGACCCCCAGGTAAACCTGGACTACTGTCAGCACCTCGCGCCACTTAAGCGTGTGAGAACAACAGAACATATGCCAAGCCTCCAGCAAAAACACAGGGCAGTCCGCTGGCCAGGATGACTCCAGAACCTCATAACAAACCCAGTAGGGAAACAGGGAAACAAAAACCCAAATCTGAATGAAGGAGGATTCACGACAGAGGTGTAATCCAGGTCCCGCAGGAGATAAGCCGCAATGGCTTCCCGCACCTCGTGAGGCGGGATGCATAAAGCCGAAAACCTCTGGAAGGATGGGAGCGATGGACCCGAAGGGACACGGAACCAAACCTGGGGAGGGGCCGACATCAAATCCAACTCGTACACGGAGGGGACGGGGAGGGGGAAGAAAACCCCACTCCTTTTAACAGCAAGCTCCATCCCGAGGGTAGAAAACCCTAAGCAGGATCTAACGGGGCCCAAGGTCCCCCAAGTCAGCCCCTTGGCTTCTGGGGCTGGGGAAGGACCCGAGGCCGAGTCATCCTCCAAAGCCCCGGCCTCAAAAGAAAAAGCAGACACAGACGGAAAGACAAGGGAAGGGGCCCACTGGTCAGACTCAGATGCCATGGTTGGAGGAACTGACTCAAATGCCTCCGTCGCCACCCCAGAAGGGGCATCCCCCAAAACTGCCAGTCTCAAAAACAGCTAAACCCTGCTCCGACCCCGGAGCCCTCAAACTCTTTGGAGCCGGCAGCAGGGGGGGGAGGGGGGACCAGAATGAACCACAGCAGGGGAAGGACGAGAGGGCGCAGAATGAACCACAGCAGGGGAAGGACGAGAGGGCGCAGACTGAACCAGAGTCAAGGCAACTATCACCCCAAAGTGGGTGCTTGTTTTGGAGCACTTATCTTTCTGGGTGCCTGACCTGGTCAATGGTAGACATAGAATGTTCCATAACCACATGTGCATTTCTATACACCATTGCTCCTCGTGCCTCTCTGAGGGGGCCAGGTTCTGGCTCGTGATGCCGGAACAACCGTGGACATCTTCAAGAGAAAACTGGACGGTTTTCTAAGAGAAGTTCCGGATCAGCCGGGCTGTGGTGGGTACGTGGCCCTGCGGGCCGCTCCAAGCAACAGCCTGGTGGACCAAACTCTCACAAGTCGAGCCTGGCCTCGGGCCGGGCTTGGGGAGTAGAAGAACTCCCAGAACCCCATCAACCAGGTATCAACCAGGTATCAACCAGGTGATCCCCAGTAGGCCTAGAACTCCATTCACATTAACTGATGCCAAAGCCTAATATATCCATATCAGCCTGGATAGCTCCGGGGAGATGAAGGGGCTCCCTTCCTCCATAAATATCATCTTGCTACAATATGATTTCTTTCAAGAAACATGGAATGATTATAGCCAATTCTCTAAAGTACGCTACAATAAATAAATATTTATTTTTATATTTTGTTTACCTATTTGTTACCACAAATGGGTAATAATGCTCACCCATGTATAAATTCACAAAAACCCAAGCATTACAAGTTACAATACAAATACAATACCTATTTCCAGAAGATTTGTCTATGTAGCTCTTGGTGCAGAAAAATAGTAGCCAATTTCCAAAAATTTCAATGCTGAAGAAATATACAATAATTCTGTTCACACCACTCCCTTCAAGAAGCTGTGGAAAAAAAAATATGAAAATTTCATGGCAATACTTATCACTTTGTGATAGAAGAGACTTTATGAGAATACTATACATATATATACATACATATACATGCATACATACATGCATACATATGCATATTATATGTGTATATAATATACACACATTAGTATATTTTGGTAGTAGTCTTCCTTGTAAACATACGTTGTTGAATATGACCGAAAGGGCAAGATTAATAATTCTAACACGAATCTTCTCACTACAGTATTTCTTATGTTCTTCACTGTCAAGGGTAATTGAAAAAGTAACTCTCCAAAATTCATTCTTTTTATTCCTAGTCTGACACCTAAATGCATTTTGTAATTCCTTATTACATTTTCAAAGACTTAATTTACACACAAAATATATTCATACTTATAATCGTTTTTGGGTGAGGTGATATGGCACAAAAGTTTTGGGCGAGGTGAAACTTAAGACAGAACACGAAACAATGGGATGAGAAAAGAAGAATTGAAGTAACTGCAGAAGGCGTATTGGCCCATACTTCCTCTTGCTGCTTCCATATTGGGTCGGGGTCTTGAAGTAGGTAGAATATAGTTGTGCATTAGTTGGCTGTTGATTGCTGGTGTTGACTTTCTGATGTGTAGTGCCTCGCTGATGTCGAGTCTCTTGCTATCGCTGTATTTATTGATGATTTCTGTGTTGCTTGTTAAGATTTCTCTGGTGATGGTCTGGTTGTGAGAAGAGATTATATGTTCCTTGATGGAGCCCTGTTGTTTGTGCATCGCCTAGAAAGAGACGTTGTTGTCTTGCCTATATACTGAGTTCTTTGGGGCTTACAGTCCCCAAGCGCGGCATGTGAAGGCATAAACGACGCTGGTTTCCTTCAAAGCATTATGTTTGGTGTCAGGGGAGTTTTTCCATAAGTAGATTGGCCATTTTTTTGTTTTTATAGTAGATTTGTCAATTGTATTTTCTGATTTTTGTCTGTAGGGATAAAGTTTCTATCAATAATGTCTTTCAGGACCCTTTCCTCCGTTTTATGAGCCGTCGAAAAGAAGTTCCTGTAAAACAGTCTAATAGGGGGGTATAAGTATATATACACTTATACTGGGTATAAGTAAACCCCTGGAACGAGTGATGCAGATACGAAAGAGTTAAAGGCAAGCAAGGGATGGTTTGAGAAATTTAGAAAAAGAAGTGGCATTCATAGTGTTGTGAGAGTTGTGTGTGTTGTGTGTTGTAAGCTGGTGGAGGAACACACCGAAGAACTGACCACCGAAGAACTCCTAGCCTTTCATAAGGAGCAGCAAAAGAGGCAGCTGAGGAAGTTTCTTCAGGGGAGGAGTAGGTAGTACAGAATGTCCCTTCCTCAATAATAAGAACTGCAAAGTTTTGTTGAAAAAACTCACCCAGATAAAGCTATAGCAGGCCGTTGCATTGACCTTTTAAATAACAATGATGTCTCACTACAGACAAGTGTTAAAATTAAGAGAAAAACAAGTGTCTTTAGACAGATTCTTAGTAAGACAAGCAAGCAGTGAGCCACAACCAGGTCCTAGTGGGTACTCCTGCAATACACAGGAGAGAGAGTACCCCAAAGAAGTCATTACTGCCTGATGTTATAATGGAAGGGGGGCTCCCCTTCCAAATACTAACACCTCTCCTCCTCCTCCCCCCCTCATCATCTTCCATATGCCAACAAGAGTCATCAATAAAGGTAAGCAATAACTTGTACATACTTTAGTACTAAAGATTTTGATGAATTAGGTATAAAATTTACTTTGAAATTAATATTTTTGGGAGTGTGGAACAGATTAACTCAATTTACATTATTTCTTATGGGAAATTCACTTCGGTTTACGAATTTTCGGGTTATGAACCATCTCTGCGAAGGGATTAAATTTATAAGCCGAGGTACCACTGTTCAGTATATGCTATATATAAAATGGTTACTGTTGTACTATAATATGGTTGTTGGCAGGCAGGCTGCAGCCTGTATGCAACTTGTCCTCAAATCAACAGGTCTAATTTAATTCTATGCCAGTCCCCTTATTCATGAATTAAATGTACTTTATACATCACTGACAGCTGATACATTCAAGCTTTTCTCAAAAAGAGCTTTCTTCATTGAGTACTTGTGACAAAACTCTATGGATTTCATATACAGGATTTTGTTACAACTTATTTCTTATTAAGTTCTTGTCTTGAAGAGGTTTTACTAACTTTTCTCTGAGTTTTGTTTAAAACTCCACTTGTGAATAAGAATGTGTTTTCTTGGCTTGAACCATACCACTGGCTTTCTTGGGACGTATGGCAAGATATATAATAACAAATTTTATGTTCAAATAGCCAAAAAGCCAAAAAAATACTTCTTTCTTCATTTGAAGAATTCAAAATTCAAAAAATTAATTCAGGCATGATTGTCACTAGGCAGGAGCCACTGGTAAACTGAGTCGCAATTGCTGTGCCACCACACGCTAGGTCGGCCATACGAGTATCAACAAACTCGTTTGCCGAGGTAAAGTTCGTAACCTGATTTGAATTTTCTGAAGAAATTGGGCTTGTAACCCAAAAAGTTTGTAAAATGGGGCATTCGAAAGCCGAGGTGTCACTGTATGCTAGTTTCCTTTTCATGTAGCATTAAGTGTTACCCTATTAAACTTATAAATAATTGATTTCTTTAAGTTATGCCTGAAATGCTATTCATATTAGTGGCTTTATATAAATTACATTGTGTACCTAAGAATACTAGTGTGTATCATGTTTTAAATGTACTTATATAATTAAATTATTTTTATTATTATTAATATTATTATTATTATATAGTGCAATCCAAATTTGTTCATCTATAAAAAGAATAAAATTTAGTTAATGTCTAATGCCATTTCTTCCTTTAGCTCTAAAACTTGACTATGAAAATTTGCTCTATTTTATTCTTAAGCAATTAATTTACTCTATCCACTCAGAAGGAAAGTCAAGTTCTGATTTATGTTTTGTCTAATTTTATTACCTAAGTGTCCTCATTTGTAGCTTATTTAAACTTGTGGTATTTTATGGGTTAGGAACATTTTATGCATTGTCATCAAGCTTTACATCACTTCTTTCCATCATTTTGTTTTAATCAGTTAAATGTTAAATAATCAGTTAATACCATTTCCATAACACAGGTAGACCAATAATTATAATAAAAGAGTTTATAACAGTACCTGATAAGAATAATAACTGAGTAATAAAATGATGATCAAAGTTGTTAGTGGAGCTAAACTTGTGAGAAACTCGACAACATGTCTGACAATCTGTATTTTGTCTACATTTACAAAGGAACTCCAGGCACGACGACACAAGCATACTGGCGACACCATCCAGCTGAATGATTTCTCTTTCAAGTATACTGCGCCAACTGACGTATGAACTGCTGATGAACCTGCAAATATAGTCTCATATAAGAATAAGAGCACACAATGAGTTACTAGAGAATTAGCACATGATTATGAGCCATTTAAATTTAAATTAATATAATACTGTAATTGATAAGGTGATAAATAAGCAAAACAATAAAAAAAAATTTATCTTGTTTTGTTTATTTATCTATGCAGTAAGTTTATCTATACAGTACAATTAAATCGATACAGTAAGATTTTCCATGTTATAAACTAAATTATATATAAACTTGTTGCTTTGTCAGCTTTCTGACAATATATCTATGACTTCTATCTATATATATATCTTATATCTATGACAAATAAGTAGACTTAGGGCTACTGGCAATTCAACAGGGTGTTGGCCTCTTGTTACTTGATGGATATCCCTCGGCTTTGTCGTGATTGAGTGGTGACTGCATTTGAAATGGAGCCGATTTTCTGCCCTGAGTCGTCCTCTCCTCGTGTACTGTGTGTGCACTTTATATACACAGAGTAAACTTTGGGTCTTGACTATGTTGAGGACTAACACATTCTTATTGGTCATTAAGCTATTATGGTTGACTTAATAAATTCTCCAGATGTTGTGTGTGTATGGCTAGATATGTTGATGGATGAGCAAGTTTTATCCCGGATGTTTATGTTTAGGTGGCAAAACCGGGTATGTGTGAAAACGATATGGTTAATACTCTGAAATACTCACTATCAAACCTATGACAGACCCTCTTATTATGGGTGTGGTTCGAGAATATTTACATTAGGGTGCATTAATATTTAGCACATTGTAAAACTGTATTCTGTAGTACAATGGTTAGCAAAGTTGACTCACAACTGAAAGGTCTTGGGTTTGATTACAGTTCAGAATAAGATGTTAGGGCCACATTTCATTACACCTGATGTGTCTATTTACCTAGCGGTAAACAAGAACCTTGGAGTTAGGAAATTGGTGTGGGTTGCATCCTGGGAAGGCCAGTTGTTGGCCTAGGGAGCCTAACCCTAGGCCAACAGGGTTATATGACCTCTATAAGCCTAACAGGCAGATAGTAGTCACATCGTACAGAACACAGTATGCCAATGGATTTTAAAACCAAATTAACCTTACCTGATCTAACGTAACCTAACCCAACCAAGCATAACCTAAACAAATATATTCAAACCTAAAATCATACAGTTTTAACAAACAGTAAATAATCTGTCAAATAGTTTTGTGTATGATTTTACCACACCTCATAACAGGATTCCTCATTGTCTCTGACAATAAGAAACAAACCAATATTTAATTGTAATCAAGGGGTTACGAGTAGTACTGTAGTTGGAGTCATTCTTAACACTTTCGCGCTCTCGGCGCTCAAAAAAAAAAATACCCCAGATGCTTTCGGCACTTCGCGCGCCTACGCGGTAAGACCGAAAAAGTGTACACTCTTTTGACTGTCCTGACAATAATTGAAGGCGCACGTATTTAAATTTGGTATCACTGTGTTCGCAATGAAATTGTCTATAAGAGCATACCTATAAAATGCCGCCCAAGCATAAGGAGTATCAACACCAAATAAAAAACTATGCAGATCACTCGCCGAGAGCGCCAAACAGCAACAAAATGTTTCCACTCTCTTAATGGTTGCGAAGCCTACATTTGTCCTACATCGCTAATTTTGGTATCATTGGAATCGCAATAAAATTCTCTACACTGACATATGCATATGAATGTTTAATATAGGTAATTGCCCACCCGCAAGAGTGTGTGAAGTGGAGAGTAGTTAGCCGCGAGCGCACTGGCGAAAACACAATCATGCTTGGAAAGTTTATACATTTATACGTTTCCTGACCCTACTTTTCTATGTATTTCTTTTTTATACCAATGTGTTCGCAATAAAATTTTCTATAAGATGAACTGTATAACATTTGTACAAAGCATGTGTAAGAGAAGCGCCAAATATAGAACCACGTCGCTCAGTATGCTTTCGCGGCAGAAACGAACGCATTGTTTTCGTTCGTTTGATGTTTGTCATGTTTATACTTGTTGAAACATTTTATAATTTGTATGACAGTGATCGCAGTAAAATTCCCTACACAGACATATACATAAAACATACAAATATTTCCCACGTGTTGGATATATCAACGGCTAAAGGGAACCCACTGCCACACGCTCGCCACACCCCCAAACATACTTTGTGTATTTTTTTTTTTACTCATAGAAGTTTGTGATATAATATTCATTCTGGTACCAAAAAATTCGCAAATAAATTCTCTACAAAACAAAAGTATCCCCATCCATTTCGGTTAAAAAATGGAATTTATAGAAATATTTTTTCGATTGACGAGAAAAGTAGGCAGTTATGCGGAATCGTAAGAAAAACCAGTGACGAGTTATCTCTAATCGAAAGCGCGAAAGTGTTAACTCTTAATTTAGAATTCTGGGTTCGAATCCTAGGTGGGACAAAAAATTGTTACGTGCATTTTATATCATCTAATGCACCTGTTCCTCTAGCAGAAAATATACCCAGAAATTAGTCACTTTGTTGTGAGGTTGCATCCTGAGGAGGGTCAATAATTCAACCTGGGGGGGGATGGGGGGAAGAACTTTGATATATGCCTAACATGTGTGTATATTATACTGTAGACACTCGATTATCCGAGATTTGAATATCCGGAAAACGCCCTTATACGGCCAAAATCACGACTGGATAAAGTTACTGTATCTCAATATCCGGCCAAAATGTCCATAGGAGCTGAAAAATCAGATGTTAGTCCGGATAAAAATTCTGGGCCGGTTAACCTGCTGCCAATGTTGCAATATCCGGACATTCAGCCGGACAAAGCATGAATTGTCCGGATATAAAAGCCAGGCCGCGGGCCGTACCATATTAATCCCGTAAGGCTTTGACTCGAGACGCATGGTGTAGGAGGGGGTGGGGTAGGTGGGTAGTGTCGGGGGAGAGGGGAGCGTTGGGAGGGACCACCTGGGTACAGGAATTACCATTAATTTTATAACAATTCATCATATCCAAAAACAAAAAAAATTACTAGTAATTATGTAATAATAAATATGTAAGTTTCCTAAAAACAATTTGCACAGTTTGAAGTTTCCTTAAAAAATATTGCGAGTTTTTTCCTCCTGGCGGCCTACGTAACGTGTTATAGCTGCCCCAAGTGGACATGTCCAATTCTGGTCAACCCATGTGCTCCCGTTCCTCGTGTTATACCACAGTGCTGTACCATTAGTGAAATATTTTTTTAAATAACTTTTTTATTTTCATAGTAACTTTGAACATTTTTGGCCAAGACTATGTCTGGTAGCAGCATCAATCGTTCTGGAGGTGTTAAGAGGAAGAAGGTTGTCCTAACAATTAAAGACAAGCTACATGTTAAACAACTTTCTGAAAATGGCCGGTCAACTTCAAGTGAAGTGAAGCCTGAGGCGAACCAAAGAGCTGATCATACAACAGGCCAATAAACACAGAAGGCAAGCTAAACTTGATTCTTATATGGTAAGAAAATCAAGCCATGCGCCTTCAACAAGTGAGGCATCACAGGCAAGCCAAGCACCTTCAACAAGCGAGGCGTCACAGAGAAGCCAAGCGCCTTCAACAAGCGAAGCTTCACAGGCAAGCCAAGCGCCTTCAAAAAGTGAGGCATCACAGGCAAGCCAAGCGCCTTCAACAAGTGAGGCCTCACAGGCAAGCCAAGCGCCTTCAACAAGCGAGGCCTCACAGGCAAGCCAAGCGCCTTCAACAAGTGAGGCCTCACAGGCAAGTCAAGCGCCTTCAACAAGTGAGGCCTCACAGGCAAGTCAAGCGCCTTCAACAAGTGAGGCATCACAGGCAAGCCAAGCACCTTCAACAAGCGAGGCGTCACAGAGAAGCCAAGCGCCTTCAACAAGCGAAGCTTCACAGGCAAGCCAAGCGCCTTCAACAAGCGAGGCCTCACAGGCAAGCCAAGCGCCTTCAACAAGCGAGGCCTCACAGGCAAGCCAAGCGCCTTCAACAAGTGAGGCCTCACAGGCAAGTCAAGCGCCTTCAACAAGCGAGGCCTCACAGGCAAGTCAAGCGCCTTCAACAAGCGAGGTGTCACAGGCAAGTCAAGCGCCTTCAACAAGCGAGGTGTCACAGGCAAGCCAAGCGCCTTCAACAAGCGAGGCGTCACAGGCAAGTCAAGCGCCTTCAACAAGCGAGGCCTCACAGGCAAGCCAAGCGCCTTCAACAAGTGAGGCGTCACAGGCAAGCCAAGCGCCTTCAACAAGTGAGGCCTCACAGGCAAGCCAAGCACCTTCAACAAGTGAGGCCTCACAGGCAAGCCAAGCACCTTCAACAAGTGAGGCCTCACAGGCAAGCCAAGTGCCTTCAACCAGTGAGGCTTCAACAGCTGGCAGTCAAAACTAATTTTGCTTAATGAACTGTACAGTAATTTTAATTGTTAATTTTAGTGTTGTGTTAGTATAGGTTACGTAAATTGTCAAGAATTCTTAACTTCAAGATGTGTGGCATCAATCAAGAAGACGAACAACAAGGTAAGGTGATGTTTCTAGTTGAATATTTAATAATTACATGTGGCTTGGCAACTCAAATTATGTTGTTTGTAGTATAAAAATAGTTGGAAATGGTCACTTTTGGACTCGGAGGAGAAAAAGTACCATTATCCGGAACACATGATTATCCAGCTATATTATATACATATATATATATATATATATATATATATCATATATATATATCATATATATATATATATATATATATATATATATATATATATATATATATATATATATATATATATATATATATATATATATATATATATATATATATATATATATATATATATATATATATATATATATATATATATATATATATATATATATATATATATATATATATATATATATATATATATATATATATATATATATAATATATAATGCTGCTTGCCAGTCTCCCAACACAATGCATTAATAAATGCAGCACTTAATAACCAAGAGTCCCACTGACTGATATACAGA